GAGAATGGATGCAGAATTCCTGACAATGGCCGCACATTCAAAATCTGGTAAAATCGATACGAAGACGTCATCGCGAAGGACGGAGCCACGCTAAACGACGCAGCGAAGGCTAGGTTAATCGTCTCCAAACTCGACGCCGTTACGCACGGTTCACGAGCCATATCCTCCACAGCATGCGACGCTGCCCTGGAAGACACTGTGGCAATCCTCAAGGAACTGTTTGGCCACAATACGTCAGTTTTTGCGAGACGCTACGTATACCTGAAGACTCAGCGAAATGGAGAGAACCTTCGAGACTATACCGGACTTGTCAATCAACGACACACGATGGCCGAATTCAACGACGTCACTCCAGAGCAGATGAAATGCTTGGTATGGATCAGCGGATTGGTCGCCCCTGAAGATACCGACATACGAGCACGTGCTCTCCGCAAGAAGACAATCCAAGAACAACGCTAAAGGAGCTCGCCGCTGAAATCCAGCAATTCCTCGACATTCGCCAGGATGCCGCACTACTCGAACGAGCCGCTCCACCTCACGTCAACGCCGTCGACTCTCACAACCAGAAAGGACAAGGATCGCGAGCCGCCTTCACCCTGTTTTCGATGTGGAGCAAATCACTGGTCGAGGGAATGTCCTTTCCTGAAGAAGACGTGCCACGACTGCAAAGCGACGGGTCACAAACGAGGATTCTGCAAGAACTTCAAGAGGAAGAGGAAGCAGAAACCGCAACGGAAGCGAAGATCTGCCAACAACGTCGTCATCACCTCAGCTCATGCTGATGTCGCCTCCGTATCACGCATCTATCGCCCAGTGGAAATAAATGGAAAGACGATACGCATGCGCCTCGACACTGGAGCAGACGTGACTTTACTAAGCGAAGCAGACTGGATTGCTCTTGGTCGTCCGAAACTACAGTCTCCTCGACTGACACTGAAGTCTGCCAACGACAAGCCGATCAAAGTTCGAGGACGCTACGACTGCAACTTCGTCATTGATGGTCAACGAGGACGAGGTACCTGCTATGTAGCCGACACGCCATCGTTATTGGGCCTAGAGTGGATTGCCCAACACGAGCAACTGTTCCAACATCTAACGGAAGGAATCGATCTACAACGTATCGTCAAAGATGCTCACCAGGAAAGGTCAACAGGTCAGCCTGGCCATTTGCAATGAGATGCACATCGTTGTACCCGTCTTGAGACGTGAACTCAAAACTATCTTCAAAATTTGCGGAACGATTCTCTGAGCGGAGTTAGAGAGGTTTTTCTTACTGTTTTTCTTCTTACGGGCGCGCTGGCGCCGAAGCGTTGGCACATGTAGCGCGAACAGCGCTCTTCGCGCAAAACAGGTATCATATTCGTGTTCAGGGGGTCAAATAACCCCTAGGGACGTCACCTTAGCGAAATCTTCTGACTCAACTTCGAAAAAAATGGGGTATGGATAGTCATGGCTGACTGATAGCTAACAGCGATACTATGACTAGCATACTGGTGATGACTGGTCTTCGAACTGAAATAACTCTTCAGTCATGTCTTTTTGCAAACAACAGTACCTGGCTTACTTATTTGTGCCGTCTGCATCATTTTCTTGACTATCGTGAGGAAATCCCATTCCGAGACCAGTCATCGATGGTAGGTGAGCTCCAATCGGCTGCTAACTACCCATGGAATAGCCCTCATTTTCCAAGTGACGTCGAAAAATCAAATTCGCCTAGAAACTTGTCCCCAGGGGTAATTGAACCCGCCGAACATGAATATGATGGTATTTCATTGCAAAAAACCCTTGTGCCATGTGTTACCAGGGGTACAAGCAGAAGCACTCCTTCAGGCCACAATGAGTCTACGCTTTCAAAAAAGCGACCTGCCCGGAACCGATCCTACGACGTCTCGCCTAAAAAACCCGCTCCCTACCTGTTGCGCTCTACTACCACGTTTGAGCATGACTCCATACATAAATGTAAAGACGCTATCCACGTTTCCTCGCGATAGCATGTGAAATGACCACGCGGGATACAGACCCATAATTCCCGTCCACGAGATCGTTCCACAAACTCGAAAGATAGATTTCGAGTTGACGGTATACAACGTGTGACCTCCATCTGGAAATGGCCAGGCTGACCTGTTGACCTTTCCTGGTAGCACACTGAACACCTCTCACTACTCGCCTGACGGGGAAGTTTCCAGCTGTCTTCATACCTGGCCTGAAATGCACCAAATCGACGTGCCACAACTTCGCTGAAGCCCAATGCGAAGCCTGTCTTTCTGAAGGCTCGCCCTGTTCCATACGCTGCTATGCCGAAGATTTCGAACGAAATCGATCGCCTGGTGTCTACACACGTCCTGACGCCCATCGACCACTCAGAATGGGCAGCACCAATCGTCGCCGTTCAGAAGAAAAATGGATCGATCCGACTATGCGCAGACTACTCAACTGGACTGAACGACGCACTGGAACAGCACCAGCACCCACTTCCAACCCCAGACGACATCTTCACGAAACTCAACGGAGGACGTTACTTTTCTCAACTCGACCTTGCCGAAGCATACCTCCAGTTGGAAGTGGACGACGACTCTAAGAAGCTGCTGACAATCAATACGCACCGTGGACTCTACCGTTTCAATCGACTACCGTTTGGAGTGAAGCCCGCACCTGGCATCTTTCAACAGTGCATGGACGCACTCATTGCTGGAATAGATGGAACTGCCGCCTATCTCGACGACATACTGGTCACTGGCAGAACCATCGACGAACACAACACTCGACTGGAAGCAGTGTTCAAGCGAATCCAAGACTACGGATTCCGTGTTCGACTCGATGCACATTTCTGCGGACAGAAATCACCTACCTCGGGTTCGTCATCAACGCGCAAGGACGACGCCCTGATCCGGACAAGATCAAAGCCATACAGAAGATGCCCGCTCCAACAGACGTCAGCCAGCTTCGCGCTTTTCTCGGACTCATCAACTTCTACGGCAATTTCGTCAAGGATCTGCACGATCTTCGCGCTCCGCTAGACGCCCTTACGAAGAAGGATGCTGTCTACAAGTGGTCACCGGAGTGCAAAACTTCCTTCAACAAAATCAAGGCAACACTCAGCTCGGATCTCCTGCTGACTCATTACGACCCGGCTCTACCGATCATCGTAGCTGCCGATGCTTCCAACTACGGAATAGGAGCGACTCTCTCTCACCGCTTCCCAAATGGATCCGAGAAGGTCGTCTACCACGCAAGCCGTTGCCTGACACCAGCACAGAAGAACTACAGCCAGATTGAGAAGGAAGCACTCGCTCTCATCTTCGCCGTGCAGAAGTTTCATCGCTTTGTCCACGGACGACACTTCACGCTGAAGACCGACCACAAGCCACTCGTCGCAATCTTTGGAAGCAAGAAAGGGATACCAATCTACAGTGCCAACCGTCTTCAGCGATGGGCCACAATGTTACTCAACTACAGCTTCACGATCGAAGTACGTCAACACCGAAGGATTTCGGGCAGGTGGACGCTCTCTCTCGTCTTATAGCGTCGCACTCGTCAATACCGGAAGATTACGTGATCGCCTCCGTCGACGCCGATGTCACCGCCGAGTTCACAGAAAACTGTCGACATCTTCCAGTATCTGCCGAATCCATCCGGACCGCTACGAAAGCCGATCGACTGAGCCAAGAAGTGATCGACTACACGAAATCCGGAAAATGGCCCAAAGTCAACCGCGACTCTCCTTTATGGCACTACTATAATCGCAGAGACACTCTTACGACAGTGAACGGATGTCTGCTCACCGCATCCCGCATAGTGATTCCAAGATCACTACAACATCGCGTTCTAACAGCACTCCACAAGGCTCATCCAGGACAAACGAGGATGAAAATGCTCGCAAGAAGCTACGTCTACTGGCCGACACTGGATGCCGACATCGAACGCATGGTCAGGACCTGCTCCAAATGTGCTTCAGTTGCCAAGGATCCCGTCAAAGCTGAACTACATTCCTGGCCAAAACCGACTTCTCCGCTGACTTCGCCGGACCGAGGGAAGGACGATACTACCTGATACTCGTGGATGCCTACTCCAAGTGGCCTGAAATGTCCAGATGTCAACAATTTCTTCATCAGCCACGATTCAGTCAATGAGCACATCTTCGCCCGTTTCGGAAATCCGGCCACACTCGTCACAGACAATGGAACGCAGTTCACATCTTCACAGTTCACTTCGTTCTGCCGTTCGCGAGGGATCACGCACATTCGCACGCCGCCGTTCCATCCGCAGAGCAACGGACAAGCAACGGACAAGCAGAACGCTTCGTGGATACCTTCAAGCGAGGACTCGCCAAGTTGAAGGGGAGGAACCGACAGAAGACGCTCTGCAGACTTTTCTGATGGC